CCACGGGTATCGAAACCCGGATTCTAGCGTTGTAAGTCCGCAGACATACCGCTGTACCACTGGGGGGCAAGAGATGTTGAGTGAATTCTGCTATTCTCCTACACTTTTTTTTCTGCTGTGTGAATTTCGTACGTTTTATCACACATACATACGTATATGCAAGCATGCGAGTGTGACCTATAGGTGACCAAGCATGCGAGTGTGACTTATAGGTGACAAAACTTGTTTTATTTCTAATAGAAAAACAGATTAACGAGTTCGTAATAACTTATCACCACTGACCAAGTTTGCAGAAATAACTTTTCCCAGTCTTTACAAAGCATTTGAGATGGGATTTTTTGTATTGTGTTTTAGGGCAACTTACCTTAGAGATCCCATTAAAGATTTAGCGTGATAATAGGTTAGTATCTTTGAAAACATCAGAAAATATCTTCATGTTTAAATACTGAATATACACAGTTGAATTTACAAATTTGTCTCCATGTGTATACATGCATAAGGAAACTGTAGGAGTTGATACTACAACGAAGAAAAAATGGGAGCGTTAGAATACGTTATTATGAAACGAGCAGTGGTTCTCTAATGTAATGATTTGAGGGGGCGCTGCATACGAGCTAGGTTTCGTGCTTGTGATGTCGCTAGCGTGCGAATCTCTTCTCTCGTAAACACGGTGTAGCCGCGAGGAGTACGGTAAGACGAGTGGAGAACAGAGCGTCTAAAAGGGCGCCGAAGATTTTTTCCCTTACGATTTCAAAATGCGAAAATTTTTCTGTGGATCAGGGGTTTTCAAGAAGAAAAGGCGTGATCAGGTAAAATGCCGTAATTTTCTGCCTAATCTGTTTATTTAAGTTGTAGTTAATCCACAAGCTTAGAGCGTGGCAACTGGTGAAGTACATGTGGCTATTGGGGGCGGTAACACTTTTCATTTAAGTGTTTAGATTTCATGCTTTTTAAAGGATGATTCGAGGAAGTGCATGTGATGTCATGTTATTAAATTAAAACTAAACAAAAAAGTTCATATAACACGTGTTTGTGGAACTGTATCAGTGCGTAGTAACGAACTAAAGAAATTATGTGAATTTCAGTGTAGGAAGATTGCTTTTTCTGTGCAACATTTTAAGCATCCTGTTTCTTAAAGTTACTGTGTATAGATGCAAGTTGTTATACATATCGTATATTAAGTATCACAGCTGTGTGTACAGTGATAGGTGCGAGTGTTAAACGTCTTCGTTGACGGGTTTTCTGTGTCATACGTGTACACGCAGTGCTCTCAGTTCAGGGCCAGTATTATAGGAAAGTTTACACAGTCTGTAAGCTAATATATTTCCTTTCGTGGAAATATCTTAACAAGTGTTATTCTTTACCGACTTTTTTTCTTTTGTTGACGGTGGATTTTTTTGGAGCTTTTAGGATTCAGCGTAATATTATTAATAAAAAAGAAGATCATACTCTTTAAAATTCATAATAAAGAGAAATAAAGTTACAATATTGTTTTTGTTTGTTTGTAGTGAAGCACAGAGCTACACAATGGGCTATATGTGCTATATCGTCTACAAATATTGAAACTCATTTTTTTGCGGGTCGCGGGTTCTAATCCCCGTCAAACCAAACATGCTCGCCCTTTCAGC